TTTTTCATTTCACTTACCTTTCTTCGCATGAAATTTATAGGCTAATTGGTTTTGTAACATTTTTCTCTTACAGCTGTCGATGTGTTGTAACCCTTTATTAGCGGTTTAAAACAAAAAAATATGGAATGAAAAAGGGTCAACGCTGCGTTTGTTATTTTTTTTTTTGTAGGGCACGTGCCTTGCATTGCAATATGTTTTGTTCCAGGATCTCATTTGTACTCATACTAATTTCTATAGTGCATGCTATCAATATTTGGAGCCATTTACCTTTTTAACTTATATACTATCGACCTTTGACTTCTGTCTCATTGTTTGAAATAAATTTTTGGCATAACGAGTATTCAAGGAATTTTTCTAACAGCTGTTTTGAAAGCCCTGCTTATATTGGTAACACGCAGATAGTTTTCCCAGCTCATAAACAGCGGTTGCACTACTGTTAATTAACCTACGTATGTAAACCTATAGAAGAGCGTATAGAAGCGTGCGACTATTGCGGTCCTAAATAAAATAACTGCATACAAAATGCACTCGACATTAAAACAAATACAATCGCACCAATTTATTGCGCAGACAAGGAATAAAAGTGGAAATATCTGCCCGAAATTGATTGATATCCATCAATACTCTCTACGAACTCTTGTATGTACGAGTTCAAAGTGCACTATCCATGCTAGATGAATGTTGAAAATTAAGCTAAAAACTCCAAAACCTCGTGCAGCAAAACCGCAAACCCGAACAAGATGATGCGGTTAGAATAGTGTATGTGTGGCAAGCAGCAGCACACACATACTAGCGCATATTAACCCAATATGTGTGTGGTTTCGCTTCACCGAGCATATGCGTGTGTATGTCTGTGCGAATGCTTTAACTATTTTCTATATTTGTGCCGAAATTTGTAAGGATTGCGATTGCTTGACTACTGCAGCACTGGCAGAAGCCAAAGTCAAAAGCCACTACGCACACGCACATAACAAGCCAACGCTAACAAATTCATATCAATTGCAAAAACAACAAAAGTGTACAACAACCACAAGAGCAATGTGCAAAAAATGCAATCGAGCATTGGAATTTTGCATTCTCAGCTACTTCTTGAGCTTTTTTACTCGCGCTGCAGCAGCCGATTTTCAACAACTATTTTGTATAAATATATATATATATGTATATTTGTGTGTATTTATGTGTATAAGTGTGAGCGTGTGTGTGAATTTCAAAATTGATTTCCCTGCGCTGCAGCAATCGGTTGCAGAGATGGATGGCTGACTGACTGGCTGGTTGAGTGAATGAATGGCATCTGCTTGGCTACGAAATGCAGCGAGATTGCAATGCGGTTGCCTGCCTGGGCTACGATAGTTGCCGTTGCTGCACAACGCTGCTTCCGCTGCACTTATCGCTCACTGCTGGCACACAACCGCAAGCTTTAGTTGCGTTGCAGTAGATTGTAGCTGCTGGCAGTAGTAGTTGTGAAGCGAGTAGTTGCAACAGCGCCACAGCATGGCAGCGCTTGCCGAAAAAGAATATTTGCTGCTTCAGCAATTTTGCCATACCCCCTGCCGCAGCTGCTTATGCCTCCACCCTCAACTTCAGCTGCTGTTCCTGCTCCTCCTTATTACTTGCTCTGCTTCGCCTGTGATAGCGCCTTTCTTTGGCAAATTTGTCTGTGTCTGCGCTTGTCTATTTATTGCCGTTCGTGCTGCTTGCTCACAAAACTTTTTAGCCAATTTTCAGGCGCTCAAGCAGCTACTTATCGCATTTTCTAGTTATTCCTCTCTGCCAACAATTCACCAGCTTTCCCTGTGGCGGCCCTCCAACCATCTACTTCGCGCACTTCCTGTCTTCCAACCTTCCTTTCTTCCTATGGCAACGTACAGCTTCGGTTGGCATTATGCTCCTTTTGAATTTCTGAAGTTCTGGCAAATCTGCGCATAATTATTGGAAATTCTCGAACTCACTTCAACTTGATGAAAGTAAATAAATTGAAGTTTATCGAATTTGTTTTTTTCTTATCCATGTACTTTGTGGGTTGGGGTAAATAATTTTGAAATATGCTTCAACAAGAATTTCGCAGAAAATGAGCGGTAAATTTTTTCGTTGCAAAAAAATGAGAAAAAAATTTACTTTTGTTGAACAAAAAACCAGCGCACGCTTGAAAATTTTTGACAAATACGGTAAAATTAAATTTTACTTAGCTAAAAATCCTAAACTTGTTCTTTTGGTGAGCCCAAAAATCAATCAGGCGATTCTTGTCTGACATACGGAGTCTGGAGCTTACGAAAGCGGACGCCAAGTTGAATCGAAATCAGTTAATTTTTACTTTAAGCTATTCAAGAGACTATATGGTGTCCTATGTTACCGGAACTGATTTTTTCCGGAAATAATGTCGAGTCCCAAAAATGTTCGGTACCTACAAAATCTAGTAATTAATCACGAAATTTCGGTGTTCACAAATTTATACTAAAGTCTATACAGTACTAGCGTAATCTTATGCTATCGAAGCTGATTATTAACATTTATTTCATATTTTTATGTTATACTGTTAGATTCCAAAATTTTCGGTGCTGAAATGTATTACTTTCTAATCCCGAAATTTCGGGATTCAAAAATCTGTATTAAGATATGTTCAGAACAGTTTTATAGGGATTAATTATAATAATATTTTTTTCGGAATCCCGAATTTTTTTTTATTTTCCAGTCCCGAAATTTCGGGATTCAGATTTTTAAAATTTGCTTGAAGTATTCAATGCTTTTAAATATACAAAAATATCTAACACTCAAATTTCTATTAAATTAAAAAACCTCACACAACTACTGCATGAAAAAGCGCATAGCAAAATTCAAATAGAACAAAATTAATTTAACTATGATTACACAGAAAAAGTAATTAAACCAGAAAAAATTTTGTGTTATATTTGACATAAGCCCATAACCCTACGCGTGCGTCACAGTCGACTGCCCAGCGCGTAGCTTTTATCAGTTTGCGTGCGCTACGTTCGTCATATTTGCATGTGTTAATTCATATTTTGTTTGTCCTGTTTTTTCATTTGCCACACAAGTACGTATGTAGTTATAGGTACATACCTATATATTTATGTATATAGCCAGTCGACCTTGACGCAAGCATTGTTTTTTCCAACAACTGGAGCATGCGTTAGTTAGTAGCCTAAGTGGACTGACATGTGGAGCGTGGAATATGACAGATAAAAGCAAAAATTAAAACTGAAACGCAATAAAAAGTATGAAAAACTAAATACATTTAATGAACAACTAGCACATATATGATGTTTATATATGTATATGTATGTATGATGAAACAGAGAATGAGCGAGTGAGCGTTGAGTGCGCTGTGTCCCTTTGGACAGCTCATTGCTATCATTGTGCCGTTTCAGACAGGGATGCAAAAGAGTCTGATCTTTTTCAAATTTTCTTTTGGTGTCGCTCTGGGCATTCACACGGTCAAAAAGAGTCCAGCAACTCGAGTCTAGTTTTTTCTGCATTCCTTTTCACAAAATGTTCGTAAATATTTGTGCGGTTCGACTGCGCAACACCGCGCAACACTGCGTGCTGCGTATTTCATTTGTATGTTGAGATGATGGTCACACATTTTGCTTGCAATGAATTACCATGAATATGGTAGAACAATATGCATAATACAAGTACCTACCCGCTAAATAGTTTCAAAAAAATACTAAAGACGGGAATTCCCTAATCCACAAGAATGTATTGAATATCCGCAACTAATATTTTCAAGGCCAAATTTATAATAGCAATTTCCTAATCTTTAAGTATTAAAAACTCATAATTTCTTTACTGCGTATTAAAAATTCATAATTTCTTTACTCCATAATCTATATCTTAATTTTCTCCTTATTTACAATTTGTCATAATATTTCTATTATTCTATGCATACATATTTGCATATTACATACAAAAATAGATAACAGAACTCAAATTTGCGATCGAATTCATTTGAAACCGAGCGCTCTTGCAACCATTCAAAGGATTTGATAGTGAAAAGGAATGCTGAAAAGGGTAGCAGCGAGCTGTTACGAAAAAGAACACAAAGCGTGCCACCCGAACACGAGTGGCACGGTCCCTTCGTCTTTCCTCGTCGTCCCCTCGCCCACAATAAACTGGTTTGAGACTCTTTTGCGTCCCTGTCTGAAACGGCACATTACAGGCAAACACGCCCAGATAGAAGCGCTGATAAGCAGCCAGGAATGGCAAGCGGGTAAAAAATTACGAAATTGGTAGAAAAAACAGCAAAGGGAATAGTCTGCTTATTGTCAGTGTGTCTGTGCGTTCGACCCTTCGTACGACGGTTATAATTATGCTGCAAAGAAGTGTCGTGAAAATCAACCAACTCTTGTAAAAACGCACATACAAGTATATCAATATGTCTGTTTTGTTTTGTCGAAATTTAATTTTTTGTTGCTTTTCCAATTTACACTCTCATTAAATATACCATATAGTATATATATAATTTTGAGATACGTGCATTGCATGCAGATATCGTCATGTTTTTAACCCATACATTTTTAAAACACATATATATATACATTATAAGTGTAAAAGTTATTTATTTAAAATATATAATGTAATTAAAGTTGAAAAATTATCAAAACATTATAGGTATGCCATACTCTTTACCTATATACTTGTAGTGTGAAGCGCTTAGAAAAACTTGTGCGGCTTTTGAACTTGTGAGTTTAGTTTTGTTGCACTTAGAAAAATTTTCAAGAATGCTCTCGCTTACCAGCAAATAAATTGAACGCAAATTTTCACGCAATCATCTGCGGGTTTTAACAACCTCTCCTAGCTTAACGCATTCTGAAGGATGAATGATACTACAATACATAAAACGCGATCCCTTTTAAATAATTTTTTAAATCAAGACCAAGAATTATATTTTACAAGTAAATATCAAGTATTGCCTGTGATTTACATCAAAACGATATATTTCTTGTTAGATGATAAGTTTCTTTCTAGGTGTTGAATAGCTATAGATATTCTTAGATGAATAATGTGAAATTTACATTAGCGAAGAACTCATTGAATTATAAATCAAATATACTTGTATATATTATATATTTATATAAATATAAAAATGGTATTACGGTTCTGGCTGTTGTTTTGAATAATCAAAAGCAAAAGAACGCATTTTGATTTGATACAAGTAAGATTATTAAGTTTCTTATCTTTTGTTAAAACCACTTTAGATCATTCTTCCATAGCTTCTAAGTATATATATTGCGTAATCTTGCGAGTTTAACCTTTTTAGTAACCATCTTTAGTTTTCTGGGATTAAATCAGTTGATAAACTTGATCTAATGACGCCCAAACGATCAAAATAACGCGCAAGCATAAACTTGACCGAGGTAACTGATATTCTTTTACGTGCCACATAGAAATTTATAAAATGAGAAGGTAACATTTTTATTGCAATATCTACAATAAATTTTCCACAGTGTTTTTAATTGCAGACTCCATGTGTGATAAAAAAAGAGGCAGCAACAAAAAACGCACATATTTATTTTATACTTGATGTACTAAAAACGAACACGATAATTGCCTTTTGCGTGTTCCCTCACACCCAAGTCTACAATTTCCCAGCCAAACTGAGCACAAAGCCATATTAAAAGCGCATAGACAAGCATACAGCTGATGTAACTACTTTGCTACTACTTTTTTCGAAGCGCCTACCAATATTAATAAACGCAATTATTGCAGGCTAGTGCAGCACGTAACTTGCGCACATACTCACTTGCTTACGTAAATGTGTAACCTTTTTACGTTTTTTTTTTTTATCGTTTGGTGACAGTGCTGGTGCTGCTGACAATAGCCGTGGCTAGTTTAATGGGCCATTTATGCCTTTTTTGTGCATCAATTTCTTTTATGTTTTCTCTCCTCCCCACACAAAGTATTATTTTTATAGATTTTTCCCCTTTTTCTCATAATAAAATATAAATGTTTTTTTGTTGTTTCACAAAAAATTTTCATTAATTATTGCGCTTGGTGCGCTGTTCTTGCATTAATAAGTAAGCACTGATGTATTATTTTTTTGTATAGTGTGCTATATCGACTGTTGAGGCATTTGAAAGGAGGTTGTCGAAAAACTACAAAAAAACAAATATATATATATATATATATTATAGCTCGTAAAACGTGCGATATTGAAGTGTTTTTAAAGGTTGAAAATTATGCTTAGGCGGCATTTTTGATTATTTCAATTTATAAATTTTTATAAAAATTAATATTCATTATGCTGTATTGCTATTGAGCTTTATAAGTTTTTTATTAAATTTGGTTGAGAGATTCTATATTGAATTTAAGTGAATATTAAGTTTAAGTGGATAACAAGTGGCGTGCATATAATTTTACAAGCAGTTCAGTGCTAATCGACCGCTAAACCTTGTATTTGTATACAAATTCTTTTACTACTCGGATCTATGTACCGCTATATGGACTTATTTTGGTACCCTGAAAACTATATATTTTCTTCATAATTTCTGATTATCGAAACGTCAAATATATTAAATGTTTCATTCTTTTTTATTGTGAGGTTTTGTAGGCATCGATAACCTATCTTCAAATTTTTAAGCTAGTTTCCATTAAGAAAATATCAGTTAGCCTGTTTTTTTTACTACCCAAAATCAGTCAAGATTTTCTTCTATAATTTTACATGCATCAGTGTTCCTTAATGAAATATAATAATAAATTAAGTAAATCTTTAACTTGTAAACCATCTCTTCCTTTCTGAATATAGAAAAAATGTTTGAGAAATTACGGCATAATGTTAGCAAGAGAGTTTCTGTTTCACTTGGTCTATACATGTCTTTATTTAATATATGTAAATATATAATGTCTATCCATGCAACGTGATTCTTTTTCAACCACATTTTTAGCTAAATTTCTAGTATGTTTTTGGCGTTGTTACAGATGTAGTAACTTTACGTAGAAAGCTACACTTCAAGATCAACTTTTTTTGTCGTAGTTTCATCAGCTATTATTTTAAGTCTTGGCAGAAGAGCACTATGATGTCTTAAGTGCGACCATTTACGGTCTCCTACGCCTCCTTTGCAAGCAACCAAGTTTTGAACGAACTCTATTCACCATCTGCATCAGCATACGAGTATAACTGATTTTCTCACTAACTACTTTCACACAGTTACAGTTACAGTTACAGAAATGTATGCACTACATAAGTTCACACATTCGCTCACTAAATGCCAACTTAAATTGGGTTAATTGCCACTAATAACAGGAAATTGTTAAATTCTAAAATCGCAAATCCGCTCCAGCAAACACTGATTTAGCATTTGGAAAATTGCTAAATTAGTAGAGACTGCTAGCTACTCAGAAAGCAGCGCAAAAATGTATACAAATTGCACTGTAAAACAAACAACAACAGCGAAAGAAAGCAACACTGTGGATTAGACAATTGCTGGCAACAGCAAAGTGAGGCAGCAAATTAAGAAGCAATAATTGATTACATTTCAAACAGCTGAAATGCTGCTGCATGAGCAATTGCAGAAATGGCCATATCGACTACTAAAGCATTGCATGTGCTTAGTTGAGTGTGTTTGTGTGTGTGTGCAGCAGCAACATGTTGTTAACAGTGGCAAACAGTGAGAGGAGCATACGTTAACATAGATTCGGCATACAAGTTGCTATTGCAATTACATACTGACACATATGTATGGGTACTCGTATGTGGCAATGAACCTAGTAGGAAATATCAATGTATCACCATAAAGTGTATAGTAGAAAATGTTGATTTTAGTATGACACATTATACTAATTATTTTAAAAAATTTAACTATTTTAAATTTCTTATGGGCTATATATATTATACAATATATATGTACATGAATATATAAATAAAAAAAGTTAAATTATGTATATACACATATAATTTTGCATATATTATATAATACCATATATTATTTCAGAATATACGATATTGGCAATTAGTAAAAAGTCCTATTCAAAACTTAGACAGTTAGTTTTCTATTCAAGTTTTTGTGCAGCTTTATAACGTTGATGCCTTCATAGTTGGTAAAAATTCGAGTCTCGCTCAGTATGCCACTCTTTACTACGGTATTCGTTGTTATTGTTGTTGTTGTTGTAACGACCAAATTCAGCCAAGTTGACAGTACTTGGCCGGATAAAAATCCGCGTCCGTTACGGTTACATAGACCCGACTATCGTGTGAACGGTATTCTTCGTCTTCAGTATACTCTCTTCGCAGGCTTATTAAATACCATATTTTTTAGATTTTTCTCACCGACTCTCGAAACAACTTTAGTATTTTCTAGCGTGTTGCTGCCAATGATTTCTGTGACCAATTGCTATTGGCATTTATTAACCATTTCTGTTGCACTTCTTGCTGTTACATAATTTTATTTTATTTTTCGCAACTCTTGTTCTGCACTTCGAGCTGTGCAGTTGCTGAGAATGTTAGTAGTGTGTTAGCTACAAACTGTTCTTTTGCCATTCGAACACTGCATTTGTTGCTGTTGATGGCAAATTGTACACCTGAACAAGCGCCGTAATCGTATGCAATTACGCTTAACACAATCAGCAGCAAATAACAAGCACAAAAGTAGCTAGCTAGTAGAAAAACACCAAAAAGCAACAGGCATGTGTACATGCAACAAGCTGTAAAACAATGATAGCAACTATAATCGTCGCTAAAACAACATATGTACATACATAAGTACATAGCTAGCAAAGGAAATTGAAATGGCATTGCTGCATATAAGCTACGACTGTGCAGATGACGAAGAAATCCAGGGAGCAAGCAGTAATGATGGAAGTTTGATAGAAACTGGTAATCGGAAGATTTTTGACCTGCAACCGGAGTTGGAAAATGTTGCTAATGATGTTGTTATGTTTTAAATAAAAGCAATGTTATTGCCAAGCTGACACGATGGTTGAAAAAAGCGAGTAACCATTGAAACGAATGATTCAAAAGCTCCGGAAGTTAATATAAATATTGTACATTCTGCATCCAAGCCTACAAACAAGCCATCAAATATATTCAATATAAGTATTATAAATCGATGTAAAATTAATATAAAGTGGACAGATCATCCTACCATATTCCATATATTTACAAGCTGGGGTGCTGTTTGGTTAAAATGTAATGAGCTCGGATGTCCAATATAAATCTGTAAGAAAATTGAGAAAATCGAAAGGCAACTGCATTATTTCAGTGATCGCCTAACTCTCGGCTCTTTATAACGTTATATATAATATGTATAAAATATGGAGTTAGCGGTGTTCCGAAGCTACCGTGCACGCTTAATCTCTTCTAGCGTTCTAAGTCCAAAAAAATGGTGTTGCAGTATCACAAGGAGACTAAAATTGTAAAATATTTTTGTTGAGAGAACTACATACCGTTTCAATTTAAGTATTCTGATTAAGTTTGAATAATAACTACCTAAAATTGTGTAAGGGAAAATAAACTTGCCTCGTTCTCTTATAATTGTCATTTTACAGTTCATGCTAGAGAAAATTGCATTGATGTTTCAACATGCTTTGCTCTGCTCCTTTTAATTTTCAATTTCTTAATTTCCTCCATTTCGTCAACTCTTCGCTTTTAATTGCTTACATTGTTGCCTGCAACAAGTTGAAATTGTCGTTCCGGCATTCAGCCATGACTCACTACGACTTACACGGAGTGCAATTGCATTTGTTGTTACACCACACATATGCACATACTCGCACACATACATCATATAATGTCATATTTGTCCCAGCCGTTGCAGACTTCATGCAACTCACTGGCTGCTCCCAGCTTGCTATATGGTATGTAACCCGCTCTGGCTGCCTTGTTAGTTACCCATTTCAATTGTTCGACGTGTAATTGACTTTCGGCTTTTAGTGTTTTTCCTGCAATTCTTACTCGCTTTACTTTAGTGCTAACCTCATTTGGTTTCCTTTTCTTTCACCTAGCCTTCTTGCCTCCTTGCCACTTTGATGCCATAGAGTCACAGTTATTTGATTCATTTTCGTTTTCTGCTTTTGTTGTTGTTGCATTGCTGTCATTGTTGACATCTCAAATATGTTGCACACGCATGCCTCAGCTGTTGTTAGTTGCTTTTACCACTGTTGTTGTTGACATGAAATTCTCTCAACACTATGCCGCATTTTTAGCATGTGTACTATCTGAAATCTATGTGCAATATTTGCTCTCCACAAGGTGCACTTGTACTAATACGGCACTACATTGTAGTTTGCTTTCCGGTTTTGTTGTTGTTACAGAGAGAGATATTGTATTTAACTAGTTGCAATCAAGTTTTTAATTGTGATTGACTTACGAGGCATTACCGTTATTTTTTCCTATGCATGGTGAATTGAAATTACATGGATGTTGGGAGGAATATAGGGAGAGATGAGCTAAGTTATGAAAAATAGCTGGAAAAGAGAGATTCTCAGCGGAAGCCAAAAAAGATTGTTGTTTTAAACAGTAGTCCAGAACGCCTTGCTCATCTTATATAGAGCCATAAGGTGCAAATTACTCAGATCATTGCTTGGAAGGACTCTGTGAAATGGCAGCCGACATCACAATACAGAAAGGAAGTGAAAACGCTGGTCTAAAGGTCTACTTAGATATCTGTGATATTATCGGTCCCTTTATAAGAAAAGTAGATCAATCGAAATGGTTGATTTCTGGCGAAGGTAGAAGCAAGTTGAAATGGAAACATCGGACCATTTTTAGAAATTTTAATAAAGTTTTGCGTTTGAAACTTTTGAGGTCATCTTAACAATTTGATGGTATCGAAATATAAAGCTAGCGCTTTCTTCTGCAACTTAGTCTTATTAACGTGAGCACACTACTTTGGTTGTCTGCCAATTAAATCTGCCACCACAGCTCGCCGGGGTGATATTCTAGAAATAACACTTAAAGAGCGGAGAGGGAGAGTTTTACAAAAATAATTTACG